TTTCAAGGTAAAAAGAATTCCTAAAACATTATGCATGATTTCTGGAGTGGAGATTTTGGTCTGCCTCACCTGGAGCATAGGAGGACCCTAGTGGTGGGTGATTTTTATGGGACATACACAGGAACCCATCACTGTTCTCGACTGAGATTTAAATGCAATTAAGAAAGTCAAATGAGAATATTCAGAGTGGGAGGATGTGTTTACTGTAAGTGATGTAAATTGACTGTGTCCCTTGGACATTATGTGTTCTTAGAAAATGGCGATATGGACGTGTATATTCTTGTTGTGAAGGAATGTGAATGCTGTCATGATCAAAATGGAGCACTCGTGTCAATCTTAATTAAAAAAAAAAAGTAAGTAAAGCAGGGAGGTTATGAAAGAAGGATTCCAATACATGACTGCCTAATCATTACTATCACCAAACACCACACCAGAACCTTATAGAAAAAGTACTTCTTCAGGGACATCTGCCCCACAACTTCTTAACTGTCTGTTCAACCTCAGACTGACACCACTCCTATTATTAATCATCGTGGTCAAGAATTATTGTTTCAAAATATCTGATGTAATCCTCCCTATTTTTGTCTTTGAAAACTTCCCTTTTTGAAAACTGGCCTTCCCCGCCCCCTTAGGTACTGGGGAATAAACCCAGGGACACTCTACCTCTGAGCTATATCCTCAGCCCTTTTTACGTTTTGTATTTTTGTTTGTTTGTTTTTTTGAGACAGAGACTCACTAAGTTGCCTAGGCTGACCTCAAACTTACAATCCTCCTTCCTCAGTCTCCCAAGTAAGTGAGATGACAGGGGTGTGCCCCCATGCGCGGCTGCCTCATCCTCTTTGAATCCACCCATAATTTACTATATCATGCATATTCCCACTGCAATATCTTGATATTCTCATGAACTGTTGTGCTTTTCCCAAATAAATATCGGTGTTCTTTACAGAATCTGTCTTTTTTTTTTTTTCTGATATTGTCCAATTTCACACAGATTAAAGCAAACCGTGGTTAGGGGAGAAACACCAATTCCTGATATTTCCTTCACTTTGTACTGGAGGAAAGATTAGGAAGAAGAGGAACAGGCACAGTGGCAAACACCTGCAGTCCCAGCAACCCGGGAAGTTGAGGCAGGAGGAGCGCAAGCTCAAGGGTAGCCTCAGCAAATTAGCAAAGCCCTGTCTCAAAAACTAAAGAGGACTGGGGATTGGCCAATGGTAGAGCACCCCTGGGTTCAATCCCCAGTATCAAGAAGAAAAAGGAGGAAGAGGAGGCACAGGGAATGAGGGAGACTAGATGGACTAGATTGTACTTTTTTAACCAAGAATGACAAGTACCAGTGTTCGGTGCACAGTTTTAGCTAAGCCTGAAATATACCAAGTTGTAGAAGATGAATTGTCAGCTATTGTCTTGTTGGGTCCATAGTGCTAACCACACACCTAAAGGGTTAGATATAGTTCCATGTCACTCATCATGAGAGGAGGTCAAAGCTTCACTATGTTGGAATGATCTTTTCCTGGGGATCTGAAGCCAGACGGACCCAGCCTCCCAGGCATGGAGGTGACTGGAGAATCATGGGGCTGAAGAATGACCTAGCCATGTCAACAGAAGGCCAGACAGAGCTAGAGACTGCAGGCTGGAAAAGAGGCCTCAAGAATGGCCTTGGATCTGTGGGCTCCAAGAACACTGTTAGCAGCTGCCACTGTAAGACACCTTCTGCTCTCTTCATTTCCCTTTATCCCTGATCCTCTAAGAGGGTCTGTTCAGGGCTGGGCCTGTGGCTCAGTGGTAGAGCACTCCCCTAGCATGGGTGAGGCACTGGGTTCCATCCTCAGCACCACAATAAAGATAAATAAATAAAGGTATTGTGTCCATCTACAACTAAAAAATATTTTTAACAAAACAAAAGAGGGTCTGTTTAAAGTTGTTATCTTTTTTTAATATTTTTTAGTTGTAGATGGACACAATATTTTTATTTATTTTTATGTGGTGCTGAGGATCAAACCCAGTGCCTCATGTGTGGAAGGCAAGTGCTCTACCATGAGCCACAACCCCAGCCCCTCAAAGTTGTTATCTTTATATCATGGTCTCAGCTGTGTCAGGGAGAATCGAGGGGATCCTGTCCCACATTTTAGGGGTGAGCAAAAAAAAGAACAGTGACCCCAGAATTGGTGGGCCAGAAAGAACAACAAGGCCCATCAATCTCAGGGAGCCAGAGATGGCATCTGAAATCCTGGGGACAACAGCAAGGCAGTAAGACCAGGAGGTCAGAGAGCATACTGAGGACTGACTCCAGAATCCCCATCAGGTAATGCCAAGGACACTTTTGGAAACAGCTGAGAGGAAACAAATTTTAAGGAGACCTACATCCAAGAGCTGCAGAGATTTGGCTTGAAGTCACGATAATTTAAATCTACAAAGAAAGCATTAGTTTACTCTGGTCAGGTAGGGGACACGTGGAGGATCCTCATTGGTCCTTTTTTAGTAGAAAATAACATGACTTGGATAAAATTGTTTTTTTTTATGTGCTCCTAAAAGGCCTGCAATGAAAGGAAGCAAAGACCCAAAGCACCAGAAACAGACAGGACTTTAAAAATCCAGGCCCCAATAGAGGTTTTTGTTTTTAATTATATGATTCCATTTATATGTGCCACCTGGGGATGCAGGGGGGGACTTTATTGGGAAGATGGGGGATGGAGCAGGGGAAAGATTGTATTTGGATGAAAATGAGCATGAAAAGAGTTAAATCCTCATGTTGTATAGCAGGAAGTCAAAAGCTGATACCTAAAACTAATGATAAAGAGCTAATAGTAGAAATGTTTATTTAGAAATGTGAAGGCAAATGTCAAAAAGAATAGCTAAAAAAATGAATGCAGGTGACTCTGGGGCATTTTAATTACACGTGATAGAGAACAGATAACATCTATTTTTTTTGGTTTATGTAGCTAGAAACTTTGTAAAATACTTTGCTTTTAAATTGTGTCCACAAGAAGCTAATTTTGCAATTAAAAAAAAAAAAGCACTCAGTTGGAGAGAACCAGAGATCCTCTAATTGATGAGGCAGTTTCAACCTACAGAAAGTACTTGATTGCCATCTAGTGGCCAGAGTAAATAGCTGCTTAGAAGGATGAAAAAGGAAAGAAGTCAAAAAGACATTCAGGATCCATAAGCATTTATTGTGATGATATTGTGAGCCAGGCGATGATTTAGGTGTAGGTAATATAAGAGTCCATAAAACAAGTGAAATCCTGTCTTCCAAAAGTTAACATTCTATTTGCAGGTGAGGATGACACAAAGTCTATAATGTCAGGTGGTGTCAATGGAAAATAAAGCAGGGTGAAGGGTATTAGAGGGAAGGAATAATGTGTTATAGTACAGGTAGCAAGAGTCTGGATAGCTGGGGGAAGTCATTCCAAGAGAATGAACAGCCAGTGCAAAGGCCTGGGGGTGAGAATGTTTTTGGTGTGTTCAAAGACTAGGAAGGAGGCCAAGAGGACCCCCAGCAGAATGAGAGAGGGAAAGGGATCGGATATCATCCAGAGAGACCACAGGGCTGGATTACAGCATCTGTGAGCCACTGGGAAGACTTTGGCTCTTACTCATAGTGAGATGGAGAGAACTGAATTAATTCATATTTTAGATGGATAATTCTGGCTGCTGGGCTAAGTAGACAGCAAAAGAGCAGCATCAGCACCATGGAGAAGAATTTGGAAGCTAGAGCAGCGATCCTGGTAAAAGAGATGCTGGCTGGACCAGCAGTCTCAATAGGCAGGGGCAAGAAGACTCGGGATCTCTCTAAATGATGTCAGCACAAGTTGCTAGATTAGATGTGAGGTTTGAGAGACAGGAGTCGAGGAAGACCCAATGTTTGGGGCCCCAGCAGTCATTTACTGAAACAAAGAGCATGTGATCCAGGCAGGCTGCAGGGGAAAAAAGGAAGTGATCTGATTAAGAGCTCAGATCCAGGATGTTTGAAGAATGCCTGCTGAACTGGAGGCTCTTGGCAAACTTATGATGTCCCACTTAATTTAAAAAAAAAAAAACAGACTGAGGCTCAAACACATGAATGAGCCGCTCAGGGAGCCAGTGGCCAAGCAAGCCATGGACTGAAGCTCCTGACGCCTGGGCTCCTCCAGCTCAGGGCAAGTCAAGGCATCTTCTGAAACTCCTGGTGTTATTTATTTCACAATAGCAAATGAGTTGGGCAATGTCATTCTCCAACCTAGAGTCCCCAAACTCTGCCACTTTGACAAAAGAGGAAGAACATCTGTCTCTGATTCCCCCAGTGCCTGGCTTTGCGACGATAAGACAGGGACTGTTCCGCTTTCGGGTGGAGATGTTTGCTAGCTGAGAGCTGGGCAGCCTGCACAGCCCCCTCGATCTGGAATCTATCTATTCCCAGATAATATAGAGATAGATAGAAAGATAGATAGATAGATAGATAGATAGATAGATAGATAGATAGATAGATGTCAGGATGAGCAAGTGGGGCTCAGGAAGCCCCCAAACCATGAGAGGCTGGAAAGATGCTTCCCGGACAACTCTAACGTTTTCCACTAAGGAGCTCGCCCTGGCAGATATAGGGGGACCCCACCTACCCTGAGTGCCAGGGCACACATCCCCAGCCCCTGCCTGGAGAGTGTGCACCCTGGCCCTGCAGGCAGGCTCTGGGTGATGGGTGACAGGGTGCAATATGCACCTGCACACAGCATGTGTCTGTCCTGGATATAGATAGGCCTGTCCAGGCCCCTCCCCTTCCCTGACCACACCCCTCAGAGGTTTCCTCTGGGTGACTTGTCCTTCCTGCTGTGGCCAGCTCTGGGTTGTTCTCAACTAGGAGATGTCCCAACCAGGAGCATTCTGGAGAGACTTGCAAATGGGTCTGAGCTCAGTCCTGGGCTCTGAACCCACCACTTGCATGGCATCTGCCCCCCTGCAGCCCTGAGCTCAGTCCTGGACTCTGAGCCCACTACTTGTATGGCCTCTGCCCCCCTCCACCTCACCTCCTCTCAGTGCTGTGTCTCAAGGGTTGATTCCAAGAGTCCAGATCCCAGGAGAAGGAAGAATCTGAGGAACCCAGAATAGTAAGTGTCAGTCACACCCTCATCTCCCCATCCCTCCATCCTCCCACCCCTCCCTCCTCCCATTCCTCCTCCCCCATCACCTCTCCTGACCAGCCCTGGGCCCTGCCCCAGAACCTCCATGGATTCTGACTTCCTCCAGTATCTTCCAGTCCCCTGGGGTCTCCTCCCTCCTGTGATTCTCCTACCACTCCTCTCCCCTCTCTCCTCCCGACATCATCTATATTGGCAGATGCCCTCAGTTTACAAAGCTGAGTCCCAAATGCTGAATCGGAGTTTGCCAGGCTAAGAGACATGATCCCCATGAGAGTCGTGCATTGAGAGACGTGCATTGGCCAAGGCAAAGGAAGATCACTCTTCTCTACCTGCCTGATGCCCTTCACCACCCACTCACTTACCCACTGCTCCCCCCATGAATATCCCCAAGGCTCTCCTGCCTGGGACAGAGATGGCCAGAGGGACCCAGGACCAGCTGGCTCATTACCTGGAGCTACTGCCGAAAGAGGAGCTGAAGGAATTCCAGCTTCGGCTATCCAACAAAACACTCTTTGGGTGTTCTTCTGGTGTGACACCAGCTCAACCAGAGAAGGCAAGTGGCACGGAGGTGGCCTCACAACTGGTGGCTCAGTATGGGGAGCAGCGAGCCTGGGACCTGGCCTTCCATACCTGGGAACAGATGGGCCTGAGTCTGCTGTGTGCCCAGGCCCAGGCAAAGACGACCTTGACTTCAAGTGAGTAGAAAAAGACCCTACCTCAGTCCCACTGGGACTACCACCACTGAACCCTCCCACCAAGCCACCTCTGGGTGGGTGACTTGGGACTGCCCAAAGGAGCATTCAGGTGCCAGACTAGGCTAGAGCTGGAAGGCTTGCTGGGGGGGCTCTTGCTAGACCCCTTGCCCTATACCCTCTTCTGTTCCAGTGCATTTCTATCCCCATGTGATCCTCACAGTGCCTGGAGGGCTCATGGGGGGTAGACTGGCATTCAGAAGGGTACAGAGAGGAGTGGGCATGGGTTTCAAGCCCGGCTCCCCAAGAAACCCTTACAGAGCATTGTAGTTATGAACATGACTGGGAGATAGGCAGAGGCAGGCTCCTGTCACAGCACTGCCACCCTGGACAAGTCACTTTACTACTCTGCTTCTGTGTTTCCATGAGAGAGTAAGAGCCTGTCTCCTTGGCCTGTGTGGGAGTTAAAAGAGATAATCCATGTGAAACTGTTAGCAGAGCCTAATATACAGTAAATGCTCCATAAATGCAAGCTCTTGCTATTGATGCTGCTGCTGCTATTATCACTATTGGCAACCCGTGGAGGCAGGTGCTGGTAGCCCCACGTGGGAGAGCTAACGCTCAGAGGGGAATTTTAACTTACCTAAACAAGCAACATCAGAACCAGGAAAGGTAGGCAAATTCCCTGAGCCCCAGATCAGGACTCTTTGCCCAGTGGTGTCTGTGAGGATACCATTCTCTGGATGAGCCTGTTAGGGGGAGGTTGTGAGGGCCTCAGTGGGCTCATGGGTTTCTCCTGACCTCACTTGGTTAAGAAATGGGACCTGATTGATATGAAGAACCCCAGGCTCAGTCTGGCTTCTGTTCCTGCCCCCCGGACGAGCCCTCAACCTCTCTGTCTCCTTCCCATAGCCCACTCTTCCTTAATCATCGGCTCCCCAAATACACCCGCCATGGAGTCCCCTAGCTGGCCCACCTCCACAGAAGTGCTGAAGTTCTGGAATTTTCCTTGCACCGGGTCCACCCAGGAATCAAAGAGAATTTTTCCTGTAACACCTAGCCACATCCAGAAAGGTGAGTTAAGAGCCCTGCCTGGGACTGGGGTGGGGCAGTGAGTCAGCCAGTGGGTCCCCACAGGTACACATGGACCTTCATGGGGACCTGGGGGGCATACTATAGAGGAAAGATGAAAGAGACAGGATAGGGGTGGTGAGAGCAATACGGCTGGAAGTAATGGTCCTTCAAGGACCTCTCAGTGCTGAGACTGCTCCCCTTTCCGTTTGACAGATGGGGAAATTGAGACACATGTGCATCAGTCCTGTATGGCATGGTCCTTGACCATGCAGAGCTCATCCCATAATCTTGGTGGGCACTGAAGATCCACAGGGTCAGGGTAGCCCAGAAGTTCAAAAGAGGCTTCTGTTCTCCAGATGAACACACACACACACACATGCATGCATGCACGCACACACATATCTACTTGCACAAAATCTGAGCATGAGGCTGGGCTCATTCCTCATCCCCAGCCAGTTCCCTTTCCTAACTTCTCTTATTTTATTCTCTATCGTTTTGGTCACCAGGGTTCAAACCTCAGCTACACCCTTGCCTCTTCCTCTCCTATCCCAACAATCAAAATGGCCACCTCTTGACAGTGCAGAAGAGCTAGAGAGAACAGCCCACCTGTTCAAGCTCACGAGCACTTAGGGGCAGAGCCAGGGCTAGAATCCAGAGCAATCCATGCCTGGGGAAGTTATTTCCTTCTCCACCCTGCCACTGCTTTGTGGAAGTCCTGGGTTTGCCCCAATTTCCTTCCCCTTCCTCTGTGCCCACTCTCACTCCTCTGCTCCCAAGTCCTGGCATGGGTGGCTACAGGCTCCAACTCCATTGCCCTCAGTTTTCATTCTGACTTCACCCACTTGTGGTGTGATGTGGAACAAGTCTTTCCACCCTTATCTGAGACTTCATACTACTTAATTTTAGCTCCTTGTACCACCTCCAACTCCACAGGGTAGAATTAAGCCACACACACACACACACACATACACACACACACATGCACGCACACACATATCTACTTGCACAAAATCTGAGCAAACACTCTACTTTGATATGATAAGAGGGGCTAGACTGCTCACATGTCTCCCCCAACAAAGATTCCCCCGCTATTTATGCCTCCCAAGAGCACTCTCCTCTTTCCCATGCCCAATACAGTACCAGACTGCTCTTCCGCTCTCTATCACTTTGAACAATTCAACTCTACCTCCAACTTGCATGGCCTGAGTTCTCAGTGTCTGGCAAAACTGTGCACTGCAGTAAAGAGGATCCACCCTGCCCAGGAAGCTGCAGAGTAACTATGGTTACTTGAAATAGGTAGTTTGGCCTCTCAAGTGGTTCATCAAAATCTTGCAACCTTAAACACACTATACTCCCACCAACATGCTTCAGACCAGCCGTAAGAAAATAAAACTCTCCATCTACCTTGATGTGGCTTTAACAATAAGATCTTAACAACTAGTCCACAAGATCATTGTGAGAGTCAAAGTGCATTTTCAGTAGCTAATCATTTCTCTTCTGTCATCCCCCATCCCCCCATCCAGGAAATCCTCCCTTGTTCCTCCACCGAGCTCCTTCAAGCTCCACAGACCAGGAGTCTCCAAGCCAAGAGTCACCCAATGCCCCCACATCCACAGTGCTGGGGGGCTGGGAGCCTCCACCTCAAACCAATGCAGAACCAAGGCATCAGGGAGATGAACCTGAGACTGAGAGGCTTCTGGCTGAAACATCTGGAAATTATTACAGAGGTGAGGCCTTGCCTAGCTTCTGGGGCATGGCGGGGGGACAAAGGCATGCACAAAATCAGATCCCTGGGGTCCAGGTTAACAGGCTGAGCAGAGGACCTGGAGAACCTCTGAATCCATTCCCTAGGACCCCTAACACTGCAGTCACCACTAGACCAAGGCACTGCTTCTAGGAAGCCGCTAAAAATGCGGATGTGGGTGCATTCTCCAGCACAAGAAACATACTCCACTGGCCTAGGGGTCAGGTAAGCTGGATCTGATGTCCACAGAGCTTCTCACCAATCCCCTGCTGGAAGTGGTCTAGAGAAAGTCACATGCCTGCAAGTGCTTGCTAGACACCCCACTCCACGTCAGACCCTGTGCCAGTGCTTCAATTGCTCATTCTATTTAAATTTCACAACCACTCTTATGGTCCCATCTTGCAAATGAGAAAACTGAGGCTGAAAAAAGTAAAGTGTCACAATGAGGGGCAAAGCTGGAATTCAGCCTTCCTTCTCCCCAACACCACAGTCCACACCTTTAACCTCTATGTCCTACTCCCTTCTGCTGTGTAGGCAATTAGGACAGTCATTTCAAAGCCACAGCCACACTGGCTTCTGGTGTTATGGTCTTAACCCATGCTAGGGGATGCTCCCTTTGTATCTGAGAGATGTTGAGTGAAAAGGAATCCTTCTACACACAAATGGGAGTTAATTACAGAATTCATGGGCCGAAAATGTGGCCTAGGCTCAATGTGTGTCAACTGATTTAATTAGTCACACCACTTCCCATTCACAAAAGGAAAGAAGGAAGAAAGAAGGGAAAGAAGAAATGAGAAAAGGCAGAAAAATAGGAAGGAGTCGAGGCATCGTACAGAAACATACCAATGCACTATTACTAGAATGCAATAATGATAAAAAATTTTAAAAAGCAAGTATAAAAACCATGAAGGCAAATTAGTTGCTACAATTAAAGGTTCCATCGGTTCTGAGCATCCTGGCAAGCAGGGAAAAAAGAGCAATATAATGGGTTACATAATAGCTATTATCAATAAGAAAAGACCCACTCAAGGGAATGGGAGTCAAATTCCCTCCACAGCTAACCCATTTCCTCAAGTTTTCCCTGATTCTAAATTCTAAAGAAATTCTTCAAGGGTGGAAGTTGAACAGTTTCATAACAAGTACAGAAATCACACAGCAGGCTTTCTGATTGATCAAGAACAAAGGCAAAAAAAAATCTGACTGTGTAAAGGAAATGATAAACAATATTTTAAACTCTGTGGGTCTTTGCCACAGCTACTCAAACCGGCCATCACAGCCTTAAGGCAACCATAGACGATACACCAGCAAACTGTCATGATTGTGTTCCAATGACACTATATTTATGGACACTAAATTTTGAATATCATATAATTGTCACAACATGAAATGATATTCATTTTTTGATTTTTTTTCAACCATTTGAAAATGTAACAGTCATTCTCAGCTTGCAATCTGTACAAGAACAGGTGGCTGGCTGGGACTGGCAAAAACAGGCCAAATCCAGCCATCTTCCTGGTTTTTGTGGATTTGGATGGAGCTGACCAACACCTACCTGGTCAGGGGCGTAATATTAAAATGAAACTCATTCAAGGTAGAGGATTTTTTTAAGTATTACTTAATTCAAGAAAGAAAATATTTTTTAAGTGTGACTTGATTCAAGAGGACAGTCCATGGTCACAGATCCATGAAAACTAGGAGGTTTTGGAAAAAGTGACATCAGAAGAGTTAAGTTCTCTCTTGGCATCTCAAGAGGCACAGCCTGAGCAGAGTGGGTGGTGGCCCCAGGTAACAATTGGCAGTGACCTATTGTTCCTAGAAGGTATTCACATTGCTAGAAATGTTCTCACAAGAGACAATAAAGGCAGACCCATAGATTATGATTTCAGAGGTGAGTTGGACCCTGAAGCTGCAGTCTCACAAAGAATAACAATATGAATTGACTCCACACTCCCTACTCTCCCCAGATTTTCTTCATCCCGCCTGAAAGGTAGGACAGGTAGTAACTTGACCTCCAGATATAGCCCACCAGGTGTCCTGGGGTAAACTGGTCTTCACCATCCCAGATG